CATTTTGTTCCAGCGAGTCTTTTATTGTGGGATTATGTACAGCGTGTCCCGAAAATGTGCCTACTGAATCGTGTTTCGAGAAGCTTTAGGTACCAATTTGTAAAGCAGACTTCGATCTAGATTTACAGTATGGAGCGAATTACCGTTCACTTTTCGTTGTAACATTACGGTAGGAAATTTGAGGTGGTTTTGGCGTCATTCGCTGTCATATTTTACCCTTGAAAAGGACTTAAGAAGCTGCAAATTCTCAAAGCAAGTCAATCGTCGCTGATTTCAAATATGGAATTCGCATTTCACCGCAACGCTTTTCTCAGAAGTCATGTCAGGTAATTTGTAACAGCGATCTTTGATATTTGTCGAAAATTTGATTACCCTATTTAAAAAGCTCTGGAAGTGCTCAAAAAGTTATGTAGTAAAATAAGCTTGCATAAAAACTTTTTTACACAATTTTGATTTTTCTGATTGTTTGCGAACTACCTATCTCACAGTGGCGCTGTATGTTGCGAGTTCCTACCTAATCCTACAGCAGTGAAGTGAGATTGCAAATTCGCTCCCTGCTGTAAATCTAAGATTAAGCTAACTCTAATAATGGTACCTAAACCTTCTCGGAAAATCTATGACAAGGGAGTCGTTAACAATGAAACAATAGGCACATTTTTGGGACACCCTGTGTAAGGAACGGGATCAAATCCCATTGCAATTTCGCATGGGAGTGCTGTTAGACAACTGCTATATTTATATTCAGTTTTATATGCAGCTGCTGCAAATTTCAACATGTCATTCCGTGCACTTTCTTTATCATCTAGCTAATGTTTGCTGACCACACAGCCGTATCACTTTTGGCCATGAGAGTCATCAGTGACGATGTTATATAGGCTGTACAATTTGTGGCATGATTGAGTATCAGGAATTGGCTGAATGTTGCGTCGGAAAGGTTGCATTTCCATTCGTGTAAAGCGATGCCAGCACAGAAAAAAAGAATCCATGTTTTATTATGCTACACTGTTTATAAATGTTTGTTTTATCGGCAGAACATCAATTTTCCCGCCGCATTTATCATACCATCTCTTTTATTTTATAGCTAGTCATGATAATGTATGCGTCTGTCGTAGCAGACGGCTTCGAGAGTGTAAATTTGTTTTTTCGTCAAGTTTTGAGGGATTTCCAGAGCAGTCAGAAGTTGCGTTATACTAAAACTTAGATCGCCTGTTAGTTCCAGTCACCAATAGCACACTCATATTTAAAGAAAGTGAGGGTTTCAAGTAGATTTTGGGAGTAGAAGGGTGAAGATTTTTGGAAATAAATGTCATGTGTTTCTCATCTGTGCTCTTATTCCATGCTGTAGTCTGTGAAGTGTATTCGGTAAATTAACATAAATGTAATGACTACTCAATACGTTAGTTCACATCATTTCTCGAATGCCGTCTTTTGTCGAATTTACTGCCTTTCACGGCTGATATTTTTTTCAGAAAACTTGCATAGCACAGTTATGATTATCCGGACATTGCTTGGGTTAGCCGCAGTTCAATTTGTCTCTGCAAATGTCGTCCAACTGGATTCATCCAATTTTGACACCATAATGCGTAAGTTTTCATGCAGTAATAACCAACTTTATAACAAGTTTCTCTTTCCAGAATCTAATGATGTTGTTTTTGTAAATTTCTATGCTGAGTGGTGTCGATTTTCACAAATATTGAAGCCTATTTTCCTCGAAGCCAGCCAGAAATTCCAGGTAATTATAGTGTATTTATTTGCAAATCATTGTATTAAATTACTACTTCAGAATCTCCCACCAGGAAAAGTTGTATGGGGAGCTGTTGATGCTGATCAGCAAGGTTAGAATTGCAACACTTTTACATACTATTCTGGTAAGGTATTGAGATTCAAAACCTTTTCTTAGCTGCGCTTGCAACTAGATTCCAAGTGAACAAGTATCCAACTTTGAAACTCTTCCGAAATGGAGAAATTGTCCGCAAGGAATACAGGTAGGATCATTGTTTCCTGTTATCATCAAAGCAGTCGTTTCCTTTGGTTTTCATCGATGAAGATAGCCTGCATTTTATTTGACCAGATTTATTGATGGCTACGAAATTGATAACCATCATTTCTCTGAGCATTTGCCAAAAATGTTGAATGCATTTTATTCCTTCTCAACTTATTATATTCAAGTTATTATGATTGCGCATAATGCACTTACAACGTCTTCTTGGAGCGCACATCTCATGCTTTTTAAGTGATACAGAATGAGATCTCTTTCTATGCCGTTAGTTTAAATGGTTCTTTTACTGATATCTCACGCTCGATATCACTATCACCGATTTATGTCTGAGTAAAATACTCGTTTTATTGCATGTATTAGGTTGGAACGAAAGTTCTCAGACATTTTCGGACTAGATCTGTTATTTCTCGAAACCTAATGCATGTACACCCGAAAGCGATATTATTCGATAGAGCAAAGCAAGCTCTACAAAGTAGCATTACTGCTTTGGCACCAAGTTCGATGCACTTGGAGTTTGAAGGCGAAATATGAAAAGTTTCAAATGACCGAAAAACCAAAAAATTCATATCTTTTTGAAAAATTTCTACCGACCTCAAATTTACTCACGGACATACATTTCTCATAAGCATTCGTATGCGCACTTGCTGCAATTTTTCCTTGGCTAGATATCTTAAAATTGAAAATTTTTGTGCTTCCGTGAAAGTGATGCTGTGCCGTTCCCTCGTAAGTAATTCCATACTACTTGGCCTGGGAAGTACAACCGTAGATTTTCAGCCTTCTAGTTCTCGAGAAATATCGAATTCAGGCTGAAGAACAAAAGAGAAAAACTAAGTTCGATATTTCTCCACAACTACCACTTGTAGAAGGTGAAAATTTACCATTGTACTTCTCAAGGCAAGTATCACGGAATTACGCGGGAAGGGCCCAGCATCAATACAAAAATTTTCAATTTTTGGATATCTAGCCAAGGAAAAATTGCAGCAACTGCGCATATGAATG